ATAAGAAATCTAATGGGCAGCATAAATAGGCATACGGCCATTACTCTATGGGGTCGTCAGCCGATGGTCGACCGTATGCATCCGTTAGCTGGAAGTAATTGTAAGCAAAAGAAGCTGAGAATCTTATTTTCTAGAGGATACTCCGAAAGGGAAAGGTCCTAGCTGTCTAGGTCGTGGCCAAACGCCCGTTCGGCGGACATGCCTGGGGGGAAATTCTGTAGTCGGTCTGCTCAGGATGTCTATTTGCCGTTGGCCAGCTTCCGTTGTACAGATCCCGCTTAGGGGGATGTGACTGGTCAGCTATACGCTTCTGCCACTATCATGTTACTAATCTACCTGAGAATCTCTAAATACGTACTTTACTGCTATACTAACTAGAATATCATGCAACTGTTCACTTGAAAGACTCACGCACTACATGCATGGGGCTGTTACATGCTCAATTTCAAGTTAGAACACTTATTTCTACTTGTGTGCACTCTTCCTGCTGAGGGCCAGGTTGGTGTCTAACAGTTGTCTATATTGCTGGGGCATTCATGAAACAGAACATTGCTGTGCTTCCATTTGTGGTTGTGTACTTGCACCACGATGCGCCTGTGACAAGGGGCCTCCACATTATCTGGAGACAGTCGCTGCAATGAAGTGGGAATACTTAAGAAGAGGGTTCACAAAGAACTACTGACCTTCCCTCCAGTCCACAGGCGTCCTGGGCACAGCGGCGCACGGGCTCAGCCTGGTGCGAGAGGTTTTGGTCTGACGTGAGTTGCAACGCACCGAGTTTCAGCTTGTGTTGCAAGGCCACCACACACGTAACCCCAGCGAACCCCGCTTTGCTGCATACTCTAACAGTGCAGAGAACTGTCGAACATTTTCTTGGACAGTAGGAGGCAGCCTGCATACCAACTGCGGACAGACTATGTTCCATCGCACCTTGCTGCAACTCCTGCTCCAAGATGACCTTGAATGCAACCATATCCAAGCCCCCTTTCGATGCATCATTTTAATGCATAGACTCACCGAGTAGAGAACTGTTAACATATCACTTGCCAACGGTGGCAGATCTGCCATCGTCAGGCAGACAATGTTTCAGACAGGCCATACCATAAAGCTACAGTTGCACTGGAGCCGTTGTTTTGCCTTACTATGACTGCGAAGCTTTCGCCACTGAAGCTNGCATCATTGGCGTCGCTCAAACACTTCGCGAAGGCCGCAATGCCTTGACACAAAACTGCCGACGGCGATGAGCAAAAACCTCACCAGTGGCCCTGCGGTGCCTGCGCTAAGGCGTCAAGTCATTGTCTTAAAATTCCGGCGGCCGACGGAAGATGGGGGCAAGCGGGAACAGCGCAAATTGCCTCTTTTGCTAAAAATACAAATTCATGTTTTCCCTTCTGTTTTTCCTCCCCTTCCACTACAGTGCGGGAGAAGACCCGCTTTTCGGTGATAGCAGCTACGGTTTATCGGTTGAATCCTTGTCGTCCTCCCTCCACGGATCAAAAACACTGGCTCTCAAACGCGTAGGAGACAGCGGCGAGCAGAAGAGCATCCGCTTGAGCCGCAATAGTTCTACGGGTTCCGGCCTAGCTCCCGTTTTGAGTACTTGAATTGCATGGCTGAGATTCTCAGTCAGATGTGAATTGAAAAGCGGTAACCCTGGGTAGTTTCCCCTTGAAGACAGTGGAGGCGCAGCGTGGCTGATGGAGTCTGCAAAACGCTTCCACAAGCNTCCCATCCGCTCAGCTGCGCGGCAGGTCGGAAGATTTGTGACGTCATAGGACTGGTAATGCATTATATGCCCCACAATTCCTTCTGCAATATCTACCAACTCTGGTAACTGCGCAGGAGTCAAATATCGCCGTGACAGCAGTTCATGGGCCTTCAGCAGAAGCGGCAAGGGGTGCCGCCTGCCAGGTGCGCCCATTGCGCTCTTCATGTCCACCAGAAGCGCAGACGGAACAATTTCCACTGTTCGCCTCGGCAGACGCACGAACGGGTGTTCCATCATAGCAGCAATAGTAGATTCTCGCGTCTCTGGTAGCTCCATGATGGCCGGCGTCGATTCAGATGAGGGTATGGCGGAACCTGCTGCTGTTGTTGTTCCTGTTCCTTCAACATCGCCACCAGTCAGTATATTATATAGCCTCGGCATCCGAATTCCCATGCCTTCTGTTGTTGCCGTCGATGAAGCCAGGGGCGGGCCAGGGGTATGCGCATCACGCGCACCTGCTTCGTTTGCTGCTACAGCCCCTGCTGCAGGAGCTACAGCAACTTCATCCCGCGAAGGCGTCCCAGCAGGGAATGCACCATCATGGAATGCATCAGGAGAAGCAAGTGGCAATCCAGGAATCACCTGCATGGGGAAATACTCTGACCTCGAGGGACCTGGTGGTGCTGGAGCAGCAGGAGGCTGCAATGACTGTTGAAAGGTACTCGGATCAGGCGCCTCGGGACTCGGCGACTCCGGTTCAATCCATTCATCTACCATCAACTGCCAGGCCGGCGGATCGACAGGTTGCAACAGCTGCTGTTGCTCTTCGTCCCGTATGTCTGGCTCTTCTTGTTCTTCCCGCCTCCGCTTACGCTGCCGGCGCTTTTCACACTTCTCCTGCGGCGTCCTCTGCTGCTCCTTCTCTTGCACGGCCTGCTGCTGTTCATCATCTTGTAATACCTGCTGCTGTTCCTGTACTTGCAGCAGCTGCTGTTCGTGCTGCTGTAGGAGCCTCCGCTGCTGCTGTTCGTGCTGCCGAGGCCCGTGATGCCAATGCAGGTGATGCTGCTGTTGCAGCGAACTCTGCTGCAGCTGTTCCTGCNCTGCCGAGGCCCGTGATGCCAATGCAGGTGATGCTGCTGTTGCAGCGAACTCTGCTGCAGCTGTTCCTGCTCCAACAACTGACGGTGCCAAAACACAGACCAATCTTGATAGGGCTCCGGCTGGTCCGGATGCTGCTGGAGTTGCTCCTGCTGCTGTTGCTGGTGCCCCAACCCTGTTGATATCTGCTGTTGCAGCATATACACCTGCCGCTGCAACTGGCGCAGCTGTTCCTGCAGCTGCAGCACTTCAACTGAGACTTTTCGTCTCGGTGGAGTGGCAGAAGTTCCAGCAGCACGCAGGTGAGGGCGGAGACTCAGCAGTCCTTCTACTGCATCGAGCTCTGTTGCGGTTCGCGGCTGCACTGAGGGGTCGAGCTGCTCTGTCCCTGAAGCCATTCCAGGTGGGGGTATATGCAACGCAGCTGCAACGTCTTCATCGTGTGGCTGTGGCTGCTCTTGCTGGTGGGGTGTTGGTTCAAAAACACCGAAGCCGGCCTCCGCTGCTCTTGTCAACAATCTCTTTTTNCTTGCTGGTGGGGTGTTGGTTCAAAAACACCGAAGCCGGCCTCCGCTGCTCTTGTCAACAATCTCTTTTTAAGGGGCAAAGATTGCTTTTCTCCAGGAGGAAAACTGAGATGCCGGCTCCGGTGCTGTTGCTCCTCCTCTTCATCACTAGAGAGGCCGCACACATCAATTTCCGCATCGCTGTCTTCTGAGCTGGCCAGCCTACGGCTTCGAAAGTCCTGTATGGTACGTCTCCCGTAAACGCGCGAACAAAAAAACACCAGCAATACAACTGCGCTGATCGCGGCTATGACCGCAAGAATAGTACGTGGGCACGGAGCGGAACGATAGGCTGTGGCTCTCAACTTCCCCGATTTGGTAGAAATCGATCCCGCTGTTGGCAACTCCGAAGAAGCAAATGCTGACGCGTCGCTTGGAGTTGCATTCTCCTGAAGGATATTATGCCACTCGGGCATTGGGTCGCAGCTTTAAACAGTTGAAGTCGAAGGCATGAGGCAGACCACCCGCAGCAGCGAGCTGAGTCGGGTGTGGGTCGGAATTTATACCGCAGATTTCCAACCCACACCTCCAGAGGGAGTTTAACGGATTATGTTAACCGCTGTAGACGTTTTTCATCCTTCACAAAAATGTTTTAGCGAATGAAGATGAGTTTATGCCGCAATGCAAGGCATCAACCAACGTAACCGGGGAGCGGAGTTGAAGTCAACGAAAAGCTGCAGAAGGACAAAGAGGCATCCGGCGGCACGACAACATCGGCGAAACGAATAAATGAAATAGCAAACAAGTAAAAATCAGAAACATTATTCCACTGAATCTTCTGCGGTTGTTTGGAAGTTCTCAATTTGTTGCTGTCCCTTGCATGCCATGGACAAACTCAGGCAACACGCGCAGCGATTCGTTTGACAGCATGAGGCACCGTGGTAGTTGCCCGGATCAACAGCCACGTTTCTGTTTCGTAAATGGTGAAGCTGTAGTTTTTATATATTGGAAACCATCCAGTCATCCAGTTGACTGCGGAAATCGGAAATCTTGGCATCTGTACAATGCCAGCCAGGCAATCGCCNATCCAGTCATCCAGTTGACTGCGGAAATCGGAAATCTTGGCATCTGTACAATGCCAGCCAGGCAATCGCCCTGTGGGAAAAGACTCCACTAACAGGGGTCCTCAAAGGACCGTCGTGGGCTGCAGTACTGTCAGAAGACGTAGGATAAGATTTTTTCAAAAGCAGTTGGCCTCCACGTGGGGCTTCCTCGGGACAGCGGCGCACAGGCGTGTGGCTTGTAACGCGCCTAGCATGCCGTGTCCTGAGTCGGTACATGTACGCGTCGCCCTCAGGCTGCCTGCTAAGGGCGAAGAAGTACTCAATAATTGTGTACAGGTTGACTACATGCAGCACAGGGGGTTCGGTATTGCTTGCGTGTGTGGTTGCGCTGCAGCACAACATGTGGAAAGCTGCATTGCACCTCACTTCAGGCCACATCCTCTACTCACCGGTTCCAGGCACTTCGGCCGGTTTGCCCAGAATACTTGGGGATTGATGAACGTCTCAGATGCTGTCTAGCTCTTTGACTCTACTTGTAGCGAGAGGCGTTGACCTCCGAGGAACCTTGCTAGCTGTAGTTGGGTCAAATTGCGTAAGGCAACAGTCCGCAACAAGCAGCTGATGTTCCCTCCAGTCGCGATGCAGACTGAGCCCGGCGGCCCAACCCCTTGGGCCAGGATAGAGGAGGCGGCCTGACATGAGCTGCGACTCGCCTTGCTGCAACTAATCCTGCAAGGCAACCCCGCATAGAGGCACGCCCAAGCTCTCTTTTTGCTGCATGCACTAACACTGTGGACTATATTTGAAAGCTTAGTTGTTCCTTAGTAGACAGACTGAACACAGGTACATATGCAAGCTTCCGATGGAACGCGCGGCAACACAGGTTGTTGCAACTCATTCTGTAAGGTAGCCCCCAAAACACCCTATCCAAGACCCTCTTCTATGCAAAATCGAAAATTGCTCAACGCATTCTTGGCCAAACGAAGCCATCTTAAGCATAAGAATAAGTGCTTGTACCAGTCTCGAGCAGAGAATGTTTCAGACAGGTCATACCAAAGAGGCACCGTTTGGCTGGAGCCGTCAAACTTGTTTTACTACACTGTGAAGCATCCGTCACTGGAGCGTGCATCATTCGCGTCGCGCAGATGATGCGATCTCGCGAAAGCTGCAGTGCCTGGGGACAAAAATGCATGGAAATGCTGAGGGTTATGTGCAAAAGCCCTAACAGTGGCGCTGCGGCGCCTAGGTTAAAATCTATATGTAACTTCATTCCTCAGTCGCTTGCGTCGTTTTCGACTGTTTCACACTCGAGCCGAGGCACTCCAACTGCGAAAGGGGTTCTTTTGGAAACAAGTATTTATCGCATCAATTTTTGCCCGAAATTGTGAATAATTGTATCCGTCAACCCGATGGAAAGATCAGAAGTTGTTAATATAATATTAACCACAGCTGATGAAGACAAGCCGACACAGCACAAATGGTTTGTTTTCTAAAAATACAAATTTGTGTTTTCCCCGTAGCTTTCCTTCCCTTTCCATAAAATGCACGAGAAATCCGCAAACTGAGTGAGAGCAGCTAAGGCCCTCCGTCACCGAAGTTGTCATCCTCCCTCCAGGGATCGAACTCGCCTCTTCGAAAGTACGTAGGAGACGATGTCCAGCAGAAAAGCATCCGCTTGATCTGCACGAGGTCCGAGGGTTCCGGCCTCTTTCCCGTCTTAAGTATTTGTATTGCCCTGCTGAGTTCCCTAGCCCGAATTACTGAGATATTCGGTCGCCCTCGCCTGAGCCGCCCTGTACCCGTCAGTGGGGCTCCATGACCAATGGCATCTGTGAATATTTTCCAAGGTCCCGGATCTGGTTTCTGCCCGAGGACTGTGAGGGTGGAGACCACCACATCCAGCAAGAGGAAACGTATCCCCAGGCGCTCAACTGCGCGGCTGGGCTGGTATCCCGACAGGCTGGAGTGCAGACGGGTCACCGCGTAGTCAATCAGCATTTCTGTTACCCTCGCTAAACTCTTCATTTGCGTAGGAGACAAACAACTTTGCGACAGAAGCTCACGGGCCTGCCGCAGCAGCGGCACAGTGCTCCCCACGCAGGACCGACCGTCCACGGCGCGTCTCATGTTAACCAAAAACTCACCCGAAGGTCTCTCGATTGCTCGCTTGGGAAGACGCACGAACGGGTGGTCTGCTAGAGGGGCACTAGCGGACTCCTGCACCCCTGGCGGCTCCGAGGTTGTCGAAATCAATCCAGATGCGGGTGCCTCGCTACCTGCTGCTGCTTCTGCAACTTCGATAGAAGAGAAACCAGTCAGTAAACTAGAAAGGGTTGGAGCCGACGAGCTGGCGCCTTTTCCGGTTGTTGCAAATGCGGCAGTGGGAGGGCGAGCCCTCTCCCTCTCACGCGTGGCTGCTATACTTGCTGCTGCAGCTCCAGCTGCATATGCTGCAGCCTCTTCACCCCTTGAAGTCCCTTCAGAAATAGAAG